TGTATAAATCTAAACTTTCATTCAAATTTTTTTTTGTTTGCTAGTTTTTAAACCACACTTTATAATTTATTGACATTTATCATTTCTACTGCACACGCTCATGTGGTAGAAGACGCAGCAAAATCTTAAACTATCACAAAGCCAATAATGCAGGTGCAAACGTACATTAACGATGTCCTCTAAGAAGCAAGCTCTGGCACCTTATAGGAGTTTAAAAACAAGTTACCACCCACTAAACCTCCCCGAAAACAATATATAATCAGGAATTAAAGAGGGAAAGGGCACCGGATTCTGAACCAATTGCCAATGAGAACAAGGAAAGCCATAAAGCCTTTTATTCTCAAACAGCACCCAAAAGAGGAAAAAAAGATGTGGTAGCTATTGCTGTATCCAGAGTTAAACTCAATACAGAATTAAAAACCTTGTTGAAGGACAGAATGTACATTTGTTTTTAAGTCCACCACCTTCTGATGAAACACTGATACGTCAATTTTATTCTGCATCAGTGAAAAGATTACAAAGACAGTCTCATGTTAATTATTAATTTTTTTAATTAGCTGGAGACAGATATTAGATTATTAAAAATAGCTTTTTCTGAAACTAAGGCATAGAAACTAAAATTAGCTGTCAGAAGTTGCATCAGTGGGCAGTCCGCATTCCACTTCAATGTAATGGAGACAAGTGGTCTATGAAGTAACACAAAAAAGCCCTGGAGACATGCAAACAGCTTTTATCTTGCCAAACAACACTAAATTTGACTTTTTTTAAAAAATATAAAATTTCTGTTAAAACCAAATGAGGAGCGAGATAAAAAAGGATCCATTTCACCCATCCTCATCTGGTCATAACAATATTCATACTCATGAATGAAGGGAGGTCTTATGATTCAGTCTGGAGCATCCTTGCCTACGAGCCAGAAATTCTGGGTTGAAACCTGATTTCAAGACTTGTTGGTCGAAGAGGTAGTTGTTCTTGATGCATTTCAATAGGTTGGTAATAAGTTTGCTAGGCCTTCCAACACTTCCTACTGTTCCCTTAAGGGGAAGTGTGTGCAAAAAAAAAAAAACACTAAACAAACAAGACAGGATAACACTATTATGGAATGTGTTTGGCCATAGTGTTCATGTTAAGGATTTCATGCCCAGGTTAATTTAGAAGAATTAGAAGGCAAAATACTGCAGATGTTGGAATTTTGATCTGATTCATAAATATAAGTTACAGGAAAAACTCAGCAGGCCATGAAGTCTGTGGAAATGATAAAATGTGCTTTGTTATTGACAGATGCTATCTGGATATTTCCAACTGGATCTCTTCATATTTCACTGAAGTTAGAAATGATGTAAATTAAAGGCTGCATTCAATGGAAGCGCTCAAAACCATTTAGTGATTTAAAGAATTGGCTAGCCTGAAAAGGAAAAAGCTGGTATCCTCTTCAACTACTTTAATAAACACTGCTGGTCCTGAACAATTTTATTTTTGGTGCAAATCAGTTTGGACATGGTTCCTAATCTTCACCTTTCTTGGCATCCCTTCATATTGGGCTTACATGCAAAGTGCACTGCAGCAACTGTAAAGGATTTGTTAGATACAGAATGGCCAATTGCAGATGGAAACACATTTCAAGTTTATCTATTACTTTTTAAAGGATTAAAAGACATCTTTACAATCTATGCATAGTTCACACATTTGACCAGTGCCACATTTGCAAGTTTGGCAGTGCTACACAACTGCAACAAATCTGGTACCTTTTCGTCAGTTATATCAAAGGTTTTAGAACTTGGAACCTCAAATGACAAAACTCTACAGTGAGCTATGACTACTTTATCCGAGGTGAAACCCAGACATCGATCTCCAAATATATTTTTAAAATGCAGATACAAAAAAAATGCAAGTCTTTATAACCTTTATCCTCAGTAAATTTTGAAAACATTCAGCCTCAGCTCTTGAAAACAGTCATGTCTGGTGTCATGATCACAATAAATAGGAACTGTCAAATATCAACTTCCAGCAAGTGTTATCTCCAAAACCTTTCCTCCTTTCTCAGGATGAAAATAGTTTTCAAAAAAAAAAGCAACACAAATCCTGTGTGGCTCCTGTGGTCAGATGAATAGACACTGAAGCATACTTCATGAAATATTAGTGCAATTAAATACTGTCTGCACTAAATTAACATCTTTATCTGAAGTCACCAAAAGCAGGCAACTGGGTCAGTGTCAAAAAGGTCATAACTGTTTTAATTCACGTGTATCATCATTTCACATACGGGGAAATTAAAAGGCTTGCTTGCCCATTAAACCAGCTTAAAAAGACAAATGACAATATACACTGAACTATATCTCAACAGCTGTTCAGTAAGACATAGACAGAACTTGGATTGGTAACAAGGGCTGAAAGACTCCCTGCATGTTTCAATCTCAGGTGGCAGCACCTGGTTTATATTTTTAAAAAAATCAAATTGGGAAACGAAAATTCATCTCAAACTCAAAAGCAAACTTCACCAAGAATCGAATGTAACAATTAACAACTGTGGCCTCAGGTTTGAAAATCTAACATCTCAAGGACTCCAAGGATTTTAAGTACTACGGGACTATAAATATAGAATTTATCTGTTTTAAATGTTTGATATTGCATCTTAATTAATTTTCCTAGGGTTAGTACGTAATAAAACTCTCTCAAGTAAACATGGGCAATTACTTAATTCATTTTGATTTAGTTAACTACAGTTAATTGAAATAGGAGACCCGTTTGCCAAAAAACTAAACATTTTTTGCAAGTGACCCAAAGAGAGTTTAAAAGGGGTTAAAAGAGCCACCTTACTCCTTCTCACCTGGTTATAATACTAGATAAGTGATAAAAGGCTAACCATCCTGATTTGTCCAAGTCTACAAAGTGTGAAAAGGAATTAAAACTGAGAAACAGCAATGAGGAAAATGAAAAGAGCAAGCAAGGGCTTTGCAGGTTCCATGGAGCAGCTTGCAGGAATTGGCCTGTATGCAAAATTGTTTGCAGTTTTCTATATTGAACAATATTGTCTCCAAACTCCCAACTGCTACACTCAATTCTTTTGGGAACCTTTAGTTACACATCTCCCAGTTTTGATTTTAGTTTCATTGTGATCAGTGACAAGCAACAACAGTAATGTAACACACCTTCCAAACTACTAAACAGGATATTTAAATGGCTTATTTAATTTCCAACATTATTTTCTTCAAATGCCATGTTTATCAAACATACTCACATCAAAGCGATTCAACGCATCTGCCAGCTCACCAGCACTACTTTGTTGACTAAGAATGACATCTTCTGAAGTAGTTGCCTGAGCTGCATTTGAAATGCCGGTAACTGCCTGTGTCAATTGCTTATAGATCAAATCTCGATTGGCTTTGTAAGCAGCCACATCTGGGTGCTGAAGACAAGCCTGTGAAGCAGTGTACAGCATAGGGATATTCTTCTGCAAAACTCCTCGTGCTGCAGCCATTTGATCTCTATGATGAATATCTTTCAATTCCTTGAAAAGAAATACCACAGCGTATTACCATTACACTTACATGAAGGTTCTAAAATAATGATCTGAAAATCTCAGATAGCAAGAACTGCAGATGCTGGAGTCAGAGATAACACAGTGTGGAGCTGGAGAAACACAACAGGCCAGGAAGCATCAGAGGAGTAGGAAACTTGACGTTTCGGCTCGGGACCCTTCTTCAGAAATGGGGGGGGTGAGGGAGCTCAGAAATAAATAGAGGAGATGTGGAGCTAGGTGGGACGGCGATAGGTAAGTACAGGTAGGGAGTGGTGGGGATTGGTTAGTGAGGTGGGAGGAGTGGATAGGTAGGAGAGAATGTGGGCAGGTTGTGCCAGGTCAAGGAGGCGGGGATGAGAGGGAGGGTTGGTCATGGGATGAGGCCGGGGGTGGGGAGATTTTGAAACTGATAAAATCCATGTTTAGGCCATTGGGCTGTAGGCTCCTGCAAACTGGAGGAGCAGCACCTCATATTCTACTTCGGGAGCCTACAGCCCAATGGCCTAAAACATGGATTTTACCAGTTTCAAAATCTCCCCTCCCCAGCTTCATCCCATGACCAACCCACCCTCTCATCCCCGCCTGCTTGACCTGACACAACCTGTCCACCTTCTCTCCTACCTATCCGCCCGTCCCACCTCACTGACCAATCTCCACCACTCCCGACCTGCACTCACCTATCGCCATCCCACCTACTTGCCCAGCCCCACCCCTCCTCTATTTATTTCTCAGCTCCCTTCCCCCTCCCCATTTCTGAAGAAGGGTCCCAACCCAAAACGTCAACTTTCCTGCTCCTCTGATGCTGCCTGGCCTGCTGTATTCCTTCAGCTCCAGAATGTGTTATATCTGAAAATCTCAGTTGTGATAAGTTTTAATCTACTTCATTTTTATTCTAGACACCTTCTATCAAACATGAGCAATTCAAATTCTTGCAATTTCCTTTAGGTCACAGAATGGAATACATAAGCTACAGATTACCCAACAACTATCATTATTGTTTCAGTCTTGGTTTACCTTCGTGTGAGTGACATTTCCCTTCAGTGCTCATATTACACTATTCTTCAGTTAGGTAAACTAAGCCATTTCCTACCTTTTTACTATTAAATAGCTCTCATTTAGCTAAGCAACTGAAGAAAATAAAAACAGATTTCAGAACACTCAGGAACTTTTTTTATTTTTAAAAAGTCAATGTGAATGAGTAATATGTGGATTTTGCAGAACATGTCCAGAAAGTCTTAGATACAGTACCAAATAATCTGGATACATCAAACTGCATGTTTTAAATTTAGTTTAAACCAGAGGCAGATAAATACATTTTTTCCTAAAACAACAAAATGTTAAATTACAATGTTGAATTATTGTAGTATTCCATTGCACAACGCACTATTGTTTCAGCTTAGCATTACCAAAACAGTATGCAGAGAGTTGGACTATACCCTCTTCTCTGGACTGCACACGAGTAAAAAAAAATTTCAATTCCATGCTGTAGTTACAAAAATGGAGTTTTTCCTCTGGAAAACAGTCCTGATCATACGTTTCATACCTGCTGTCTTTTGGCTGCCATAAGGTTCAGTTTGTCCACTTCAGGTTTCAATGCCTTAAACTGTATTCCAAGTTCTTGCTCATTGTTGGCATTCCTCACCTTTACAAGAGTTTCTTCAACCTGAAAAACAGGTCAAATTGATTTTTAAATTTACACAAAAATCAAATACACAAGGGGACATTTCACACATATCTCTAGACTAGCAAGTCAAATCATTCGATGACCGATTATGCTCAAATTTATTGCAATAGTAGACAAACCGTAACTCACTCAATGCTATTTAACTGTTTTTGGGCATCCTCTTGTTTATTCAAGCTTCATTCAGCATAACTTGATAAGTCTCTGAGCCAGCCTCACAGTCTACCTGCCCCATGTACTGCATTGACTTCATCAGCTAATATGCATTAGAAGTCAAACTTCAAGCGGTGCGGACAGCCAAGGATAGTAACGGCAAAATTTGAATTCCAAATTTTTATGAAATAAAAATTAAGCCTAACTGTGACGATGTAACCATTGGTTCACTGTTGTCCTTTATGGGAGATAAATCTGCCATCCTTAGCCAGACAGACCCAGCCGTAACTTCAAACCCACAGCTATTGGTTGACTTGGAGAGAGAGTTTCTGAACCGTAAGTGCAATATTAAGGTTGCCACAGAGGAATCAGTAAACTTCCATTAATTAACTAATTCCTTGATCTTGTATCAATAAATTGCAAATAAAACCAAAGTATTACAACAATAAGCTCACGTGAAATTAATACTATTGGTCAAATTCCTTTCATCAGAATCAGTACGTTCAACATTTAATCAACTCATGAATGGTATTACATGTTACTGGTGTTTAATTTCAAACAGAATCCTCCAAAGCCACATTATTCTAAAGTATTTTTGCAATGGCATGAACTAATGTTAAACATAGAATAAAGGACCGAACAATAAGACAATGATTAACGACCAATACTCACTGATCTCAATCCACATGGATAAAGAGAACCACCAATTCAACTGGGGCAACACCAAAATCCTGGGACAAGCTAAGCAGAGACAGGCACGGGAATTCCTAGAAGCCTGGCACGCCACGAAGCATGCTATTAATAAACACACAGAACTCGACCCCATATACACTCCACTCCGAAGGAAAACGGGAAGTGAGGCAATCCAGCTCAACGGACTCCACAGTTTAAAAACCAGGCGGGAAAACACACCGACGCTTCATGGGAGGCTGCACTGAGGATGTTACCCAGCAGGGTAATGAAACATCTGCGGAACAACAAACCAACTCGGGGAGCCAACCAACCTCAACACCCACAACCTGAGCTACAAATCTACTCCAAAACCTTCGAGACAATGTCCATTGTCCATTATTCAATGTCCATTGAATAATTTAGAATATTATATTTGCTTAAATTTTGTTCTATTTACATATTTCAGTAGAACTGATGGGGATTAAAATAACTGTTATACACTCTGGACTAGACTAGACTCTCAGTTTGACATAAAAAGCTTGTATTAACCCCAGAATGTCACCACCTAGCCATCATGAGTTTATACAAAATGCAGAAGATCTCCATGGACTGAGCCAGACAGCAATAAAAGAACTTTTATTTTCATGCTCCTATTAAAAACAGATGATTTATTCTAAACCACGTGTAAAGTGCATATTTTTAAATAATAAATGTTTGTTACATCACTGAAATGTACAGAATAACACTGCTCTGCCAATGCCAGAAGCCCAACAGTAGAACAATGAATATTTCCTTTCTTTATGGAAATTGTTACATTAATGAGTTGTTTTTAAAGCAACTACATATTTTAACAGGACCAGAAAGTTTTTAGCTTAATGGGAAACCATTCAGCGTAGAACTTACTACTTTCAATTGTACAAGAAGTTTGTAAACATCTGCCATGTCAGCCAGGATAAGAAGGCGAGTAACAGCAGACAGCAATGCTCGTGCAGCTCGAACCATATTGCCTCGCTTCATAGCTGAGCAAGGATCCTCTGCAAATTCTGATGAAGCACTTCTCATCATTTCACCTACAAGTAAAAGGAAATATTGGAAGTTTACAAATGAGATAATTTAAAAAGTTATAGAATTAAAATAACATTCACTTTCTAAACTAAAAAAAAATCTTTGCAAATTGAAATATAAAACAGTTGGAATTGATGGTCAGCTCTATCAAACAAGGTATCTTCTCATTCAGAGATAGCAGTAACTGCAGATGTTGGAGAATCTGCGATAACAAGGTGTAGAGCTGGATGAACACAGCAGGGCAAGCAGCATGAGAGGAGCAGGTAGGCTGACGTTTCGGGCCTAGACCCTTCTTCAGAAAATGACCCTCACACATCCACACCGACCCTTAGAGCATCCTACCCAGACCCAGCCCCCTATAATCTACCGAATCTATACACCCTGAACACTATGGGAAATTCAGCATGGCCAATCCACCTACCATGCACATCTTTGAACTGTGGCAGGAAACCGGAGCACCCAGAGGAAACCCACGCAGACATGGGGAGAACGCGCAAGCTCCACACAGACAGTCGTCCGAGGGTGGAATCGAACCCAGGTCCCTGGCGCTGTGAAGCAGCAGTGCTAACCACTGAGCCACCATGCCACCCCTCATAGCTAATGCCCTCTATACCAGGCAACATCCTGGTACACCTTTTCTGTACCCTCTCCAAAGCCACCACTTCCTTCTGGTAGTGTGGCGATCAGAATTGAACACAATATTCCAAATGAGGCCTAACTAAGGTTCTATAAAGCTACAAGATTACCTGCCAATTTTAAAGCTCAATGCCCCGGCTGATGAAGGCAAGCATGCTGTATGCCTTGTTGACTACCTTCTCCACTTGCCTTGCCACTTTGTGACCTGTGTACCTGTACATCCAGATCCCTCTGCCTATCAGTACTCTTAAGGGCTCTGCCATTTACTGTACATTTTCCATCTGGTTTAGACCTTCCAAAATGCATCACTTCACATTTTTGCGGATTAAACTCCATCTGCCATCTCTCTGCCCAAGTCACCAACCGATTTACAGCCAGCTGTATCCTTTGACAGTGCTCATCGCTATCCGCAATTCCACCAACCTGTGTGTCATTGGCAAACTTAGTCAGACCAGTTACATTCTCCTCCAAATTGTTTATACATAAATATATTTGTATATATTACAAAGAGCAAAAGTCCCAACACTGATATCTGAGGAACACCACCAGTCACAGCCCTCCATTCAGCAATGCACCCTTCCACTGCTACCCTGTCTTCTATGACCGAGCCAGTTTTTTATCCATCATGCAAGCTCAGCTCTGATCCCATGTGACTTTACCTTCTGTATCAGCCTGCCATGAGGGACTTTGTCAAAAGCCTTACTGAAGTCCATGTAGACAACATCCACTGCCCTACCCTCATCGATCATCTTAGTCACTTCCTCAAAAATCTCAGCCAAGTTAGTGAGATATGACCTTCCCTTCACAAAACCATGTTGCCGCTCAATAATGTGCCCACTTATTTCCACGTGGGAGTAAATCCTGTCTCGAAGAATCCTTTCCAATAATTTCCCTACCACTGATGCAAGGCTCACCCACCTGTAATTAGCTGGATTATCCCTGCCACCCTTCTTAAACAAAGGAACAACATTGGCTCTTCTCCAATCCTCTGGGACCTCCCCTGTAGCCAGTGAGGATACAAAGATTTCCCTCAAGGCCCCAACAATTTCCTCGCTTACCTCTCTTAGTATTCTGGGGTATATCCCATCAGGCCCTGGAGACTTGTCTACCTCAAATGTTTTTCAAGACCCCCAACACCTCCTGTCTTTTGATCTCAACGTGACCCCAACTATCTACACACCCTTCCCCAGACTCATCACCCAAGTCCTTCTCTATGGTGAATACAGACACAAAGTACTCATTTAATACCTAGTCCATTTCCTCTGGCTCCACACAAATTCCCTTCCTTGTCCTTGAGTGGGCCAATTCTCTCGCTCTTCATATAAAAAGGAGATGTTAAATGTAAGAAATCCCTGATACTCACTTTATAACCAATGAGTAACAATTTATTTACCTACTAACAAACTGAACAATTCCCCCTTAACTGCTAACCATTCTCGAACAGAACAAAATTCTAATGCATGCTGTTCCAACAAATACAAGCCCCACTTATATAAACCAAAGTAATAAGAAAAATACATTAAAACTTAGACTCTCAAAACTATAGTCAGGATGCGTCTTCCAGAATAGTGTGTCTTTTTGGCTGTTCTTCAGTCAGGAATTCTTTCTTCATCAAATCCTTGTGTGAGGAATATTAGCTAGAAGTGCATGCGGAAGGCTCTTCCTTTGGAGAATGGGGCCCTTCATTTGTACTTAAGTCTCCACTTCTAAAGGCCAACCTACATCAAATTCTGTCCTTTTTTTGGTGAGAAATTTTAAGGCAGATGTGTCAAGCAGCAGTAAACAGTTTAAGAGGCCTTGGTTTATTTTTTAAAAAGTTGGAACAATAGAAGCAGCCTGAATGGGTGGGGTCAAGTTCCGACACAGCCAGGATATTTTCATTTTCAGTTTTTAGCAGCTGTTATTGCTGAAGCTGTTATTGTGGAAGCTGCAGTACATCTCTCCCTGCTTCTCCCTCCCTCATATTCTTGGCATGTTTTCCTCCTGGACTAGAGAATTGCCCATGACATAATCCATTTTTCTGAAATTGCCTTTTGCCATGGGTGGGTGTATGGAATGTTACTATATTGGAACAGTTACTTTTTAGTAACAAAATAATGAAATAAGTCATTAAGTTTTCCAATAAAGTCAAGTTATTCCAATTTCTTCTTTTTGTATGAATAAGTGTGTTTTGCTTCAAATCTGATAGTCTGACCAATTGAATTGCATCCGGAAGCAATGAAAATGCTTGGGTGTAGGCTCTATTAATATTTTGAGGGGTTTGGTCCAGTCCATAACACAAGATACGTAGGGAGTTCACGTAGCTTTGCGAGCTTGAAGATGAGCCTTCAGAGCAGATCACACTTTATTCTAACCCTGAAATCTAGTGAAGCCAGCAATCTTACAGAAATTTGCTGTTTTTTGCTATTGCCTTTCAATAGATATTCCAAATCTAATTAATTCTCTTTTCCTGCGGAATAAACCGTTCAGTTCTTCAAGCCTGCTCTAACGTTCAAGATCATTGCTGATGTTTCAAATTTTACACTCCTATCTACTCCCAATAACCTCAGATTCCCTCGTTTATCAAAAACTTATTTGCCTTTGCCTCAAAAATATTCATGGTCCTGCCTCCATAACATTCTGAAGCAGAGAATTCCAAAGTTGAACAATCTTTGGACAAAAATAAATTCTCTTCTGTTTTAAAAGGGCAATTTCTAATTCTAAAACAGTGTTACCTAGTTCTAGACTCATTCAGAAGACATCCACCTTTTGTCAAGGCCTTCAGATGTCTCCCAAGACTCAGCCACATCATTTATACTGCTACGATTCTGCTATAGATGTATGTATCATGAATTTAAATTTTCCTGGAGTAGGTTTCAGAACATCATCTAGTACTTGGCAGAGACAAAGATACCACTACGACTTAAAGAACTTGCTAACCAAGAATACCTCTAGAAGGGCAGCCGGTTCATTTTGAGTCTGGCAACAGAACAATCATCCACTTTCTTCCTTGCCATTAATTCATTGGCTCCATCTCTTAATTTAATATACTATCTCTGCACAAAACAGAGTCTCTGAAATGCTACCAACACAAAAAAGCTCTAAAATATGAGATCACAGAGAATGCAGTTTCCTAGCACGTTGTAGCAAAATAAATTTCCCTTAAATTTAGAATTTCTATTCTACATCTACACAACTCATCTAACAAAACTGTACTAACTTTAAAACATGAGCATATCTTTCAAGTGAAAAGTGCTCCTACAGAGATTGCAGAGTATTCATTTAAAAGTCTATAAAAGCAGCAAAAGCAGAAATAAGTTATACTAAATTCCAAAGTCTGCAGAAAATATCCATTTAGGCTAACTTATTTACACAATATTTAATACTTCACACTATGTTCCCTCCTCTCAACTTGCCATAGCATAGCCTTTACCCACTCTCGCATGCTTACTCATTATAAGACCACAAGACATTGGAGCAGAAATTAGCCTATCGAGTCTGCTCTGCCATACAATCATGGCTGATAAGTTTCTCAACCCCATTTTCCTGTTTTCTCCTCAATAACCCTTGATTCCGTTGACAATCAAGAACCTATATGTCTCCATCTTAAATACATAGAATGACCTGGCCTCCACAGCCTTCTGTGGCAGTGAATTCCACAGATTCACCACTCTCTCACTGAAGATGTTTCTCCTTATCTCTATTCCAAAAGGTCCTGCCTTTACTCTAGGGCTGTGCCCTCGGGTCCTAGTCTCTTCTACCAATGGAAACATCTGTCCAGGCCATTCAGTATTCTGTAAGTTTCAATTAGATCCCCCCTCATCCTTCTAAACTCCAATGAGTATAGACCCAAAGTCCTCAAATATTCCTCATATGTTAAGCTTTCCATTCCTGGGACCATTCTCCCGAATCGCCTCTGAACCCGCTCCAGGGCCAGTACATCTTTCCTGAGATATGGGGCCCAAAACTGCTCACAATTTACCCTTAAAGCTATTAATCCTAACCAGTTAGCTAAGTCAACGGTACTGCAAACGTGGGTGCTGCAAAATAGTTCACTATTTTATCTGTCCAATTTAGTTGTGAATTCAGTGTCAAAGTTGATTTCTCTCCAGAATCCCAACCATGAAGAAAAACTGCTGGATGTTTTGACCCCAACTCCCTATTAGTCAAAAATCACGACAATTTTGTCTCATGAGATGTACCTTTTAATGGGCAAGCTAAAATATTAGAACAGAAAAAAATTGAAAATCAAAGGCTAAAATGAACCCAAAAGAAATTAATGAAGGAGGGTCCAGGCCTGAAACGTCAGCCTTCCTGTTCCTCTGATGCTGCTTGGCCTGCTATGTTCATCCAGCTCTACACCTTGTTATCTCAGAAATTAATGCATGCT